CAAGTACCTCGAACTTTCTGCTGGGATGTTGTATCCCTAATTGAGTCGATAGTGCCGTAAAACATCTACTCAATCAATCAATCATGTTGTATCCGTCTCAGCCCAGGCTGGCCCGGGTATAAATTGTATCGACAGGGGTTTTTGAAACATCTGTATCTAAAAATAAAGAAAATGTAGACTACTTTCAGCACTAGATATCTAATTGCAGTTTTATTTTATCTTGCTGTTCGGAGAGTGACAGGCTATTTCTTGCCCCCAGTTGCTGGGAGAAAAATGCTGAGCTCGATGAGACGTCAAGCTTGTGTGTGTTTCTGAGGGACACAGTTTCCGGGTCGAAATCTATCACCTGATTTTTTAAAAGGCACATCTTCAAATCATGATCCTTGCCATGTTTTTGTGGTTAAACAGTAGGCCTATTTATAGTTCAACTATTCTATTAGGCCTATTTATAGTTCAACTCTTCAATTAGGCCTATTTATAGTTCAACTCTTCAATTAGGCCTATTTATAGTTCAACTAGTCAATTAGGCCTATTTACAGTTCAACTAGTCAATTAGGCCTATGTATAGTTCATCTAGTCAATTAGGCCTATTTATAGTTCAACTATTCAGTTAAGATTGACTTACGGTACAGCGAGAAACTAAGAGTGGGAAACATAAATTTGACCCCCCCCCCTTCCCTTTTCTGCCAACCCCCTCCCATCAGGATTCCAACACATACGCACAAATTGTTAAGCTGTTAAAAAAAGTTCGATTCAACCAAGCTTTCTCAAAGAGCTAATTAAACGGTGCATCTTTGAACAGGAACTAGAACCAAAGCCTACAAACATCTTTGTTCACATAAAAAAACTACCATTTATTTTGCACGTGCATACGTATACTTACTAAGCTCCCAGTGACTGGTGGCCTTGTGGGTAGGTTACCGTACTCGTAATCGTGAGATTGCGGCCTCGGGGTTCGAGCCTCAGCTCGGGTCCGACGTTGTGTCCTTGGGGAAAGACACTTTAGAGAGAGAGAGAGAGAGAGAGAGAGAGAGAGAGAGAGAGAGAGAGAGAGAGAGAGAGATTGTGATCAACTGACGGGCTGACGGATAATGACAGGGAGAAAAAAAAAGATTCTGTGTGTGATACGGACTATTCAATTCTTTAAGAGTTTTATGTTATAATCTAGTTTAAAAATCAGAAAGATGTGTAAAATAAGAAGAAAACTTGTCCAAGTAACATAAAATTATCAAACATACCAAATTGTTTTGCCTCTCAAGATGCCAAAATATTTAATAATAGAAATGGATAAAAATATCCTTTAAAACTGAATTTAATATATTATGATTGCATGATTCTAGGCGTGTGCCATAACTAACTTTATGTGTAAGGAATAGGGAACACAACAGAGGGTCGATGCCAGCTTTCTCTGATTGCTAACAGTATGTCTTG